AGCAAGCCGGCTCTGGGATGGGCAACCAAAGGCAGCTGGCTGGGGGACAGAGCGCAGCCACCGTCACAGCCTGGGCAGCTCAGGGGATGAGACGGCGCTGCACAAAGGGCCTGCAAGCCGACATCTTTGGCAGCTTTAGCCAGGGCCATCAGTAGCAAGGGCAGTCTGCCGCGGCCAGGGCCAGGCTTGCCAACCACTGCATGCCTGAGAATTGTGCGCTGCCCCTTCACCCAGGAACCTTGAGCTCCACTTCCTGCTCTGTGACTGCGGTGAAGAATACTCACATAATCAAAGTCTCAAAAATGCTAGTCGGTGATCTCAGCACTCTAGGAGGCTGAGGCAGGAGGATTGGACCCAGACCGGGAAACAGCAACTTAACAAAACTCTGTCTCAAGATAAAACAATAAAAAACGGTGGGGGATGTAGCTCAGAGCAAGACCGTGGGTTCAGTCTCTAGTATCACACAATTATTTTTTTAAATTGCTGCTTATTGGTTTAAAATTGTTGGGGATCGGCTGATTGTCAAAGTATAGAAATAAATAGAAGCCAAAAGCAGAGTTCACAGGAGCACACCTTTCAAGGCTGGGGAGATGAGAGAGAAGTGGAGCCAGGGATGGCAGAGGGGCGCCCACCCCACAATCGGGGAAGGGAGGGATGTAGAGAGCATTCGGTGAGCTGACCCAGAATCCCTTCACGGAACCTTAGCTGAGTGCGGCCTGTGGGAGCCTGTGCAGACTGCCAGGGTTCCAGGCGTCACTTCGACCCCAGGGCCCCCCTCCGTGCAGAGGTGACCTTCTGGCGAGGGAGACAGAGACCACCCTTGTAAGTAAGAGCCACACAGTCAGAAGCCGGCAGCACTGCGGGCGGCATGGGCTCAGGAAGGTGGGGAGGACCCCGCACAGTTGCAGCAGGGCAGGGACAGACGGGGGAGGGAAAGGGAGTGGGCTGTGGCCGGCTCCAGGGCAGATAGGGGCAGGTGACCTGGAATCTGGCACCGAGGTCTCCTCTAGGGTCTCCCCAGCGCCTGCCTTCCAAGGCCTGGTCAGAGCCTGCATCCTAACCTAGGCCCTGGCTTAGATCTGGAAGTTCCCCAAAGGCATCTGTGTGCTTAGGTGGGGCTTCTGGAAGCTGATTGGACAATGGGAGCTTAGCTCCGGCTTTGCGGGGTTAGGAGGCGGGACCTGATTGGAAGGGGATGTCCTGGGGCGTGGCCCAGAATACTTGCTTTCCTCCTCTTCCTTTTCTCCACTTCCTGTGCCCAGTGCTATGAGAGGCTTCGCTCCGCCAGGCCCCTGTGCCACGCCGTCCTGGCTTGGAGCAGCCGACCATGGGCTAAAATTAAGCCAAATAAATCTCTCCTCCTTTAAACTGTGGATGTCAGGGGTTTTGTCCCAGCAACAAAAAAGTGGCTAAGACAAGATATTATATATATATATTTCCCCCCCAAATCGATGAATTATTATGCATGTCCAAAAAGTAAAGAAAGCGAGATGTAAACATTTTTTAAAAATTCTGATGGTACGCTAACGTACACCAGTGGGAACTGACTGGGGAACATTCACGTGTGGGTGTTATCAGGGTCTAACTGTGACCACAGCTCATAGGGCCTGCCACAACCCGGGGGAAGAGTGTGGCTGCTGGGCAGACTGGTTTCTGGGTCGCCAGCGCACACCCCACCTCCTCAGCTGCAGGCAACTTCCAGCAGCAGCCAGGACCTCCAGGTCCCAGCCAAAGCCTCGGCAAGCAAACCTCCCCACTCATAGGAGAATGAGATGGAGCTGTATGATGACAGCTGGGCAGAGGAATATACAGGGTCCTTTGGGCTCGTCCAGAATTTTCCTTTTAGAAACCCACACCATCTCCACAGCTGCATCTCAGGCTGCGTGAAGTGGAGGGAAGAAGGTAGGGGGAGTGCCCACCACAATGACAGGTGTTGGTGACATCCCCACTGCCTTGTCAGGCACCTGGTGCCAGAGCTGCCTGCCCACAGATGCTGGGTGGGAGGTTCCAGGAGCATCTCCTCTCTCATCTCCCTGGAGATGCCAGGAGACACGGAAGCTGAGATCGCCTCCTGAGGCCCTGGGAGGTACAGGCAGCCCTAAGGGCAGGCCAAGGAGATGGACATCAGTGCTCTGGCTCACTGCACTGTCCCGAGAAGGCCTTGAACATGTGGCCATAAGCAGGGCCATCTCTCGTCCCTTCTGGTCCCCTGCCAAAGAGCGCAGGTGTAATAATCCCAGTCTGAGCTTTCTCAGAGCCCAAGTGCCCTGTGTGGGGAGTACCCCCAGACCCCAGAGGGGGACCACACCCTTAGATGCCTCCCACGCCTCCCACAAAGGCCAGGACAGAGCCTGAACTCTGCATGACCCAGCATCCAGCCGCAAACATCACTGCAATTGTAGGAGGAGAGGCATATCTCTTCCCCCAGCGCACACCTCCTGAGCCAGCATGCTGGTCTCTAAGGCATGCATTCCAGAGAGACAGATGTCGCCTTCTTAGGGTGCTGGAGTTATGCCAGGGGAGGGACCAGAAGCGGGCCCATCTGGTGTCCACTGGAGGCTCTGGGCATACTCCTACCCCTGCTACCATCGATGGCTTGTGTCATTTGCCTGCTGGGCCTCAGTTTCCCCATTTGTAAAGATGAGGGTTACCTCATTCTCCACATGAATCAGTTAAGAAGCTGGAGTGAAACTGCTCGGGACACCAGAGGGGGACCTCAAGTAGCAAGATCTGGGGCTGCATGTGTGAGGCCCCCGGGGGGGCAGGGAGAAGGGGACTGTGAGCCCCAGGATGTGGGGAGCCCCAGTGAGTGTCCCCCTCTCTTTGTGTCCACCCTGTCCACCGCCCACCGTTCTAGGCAGATCTTTCACCATCTCCCCTCGGGCTCCCACCCATTCCTCCTTCAAGTCTGAGCATCCAGGGCAAAGCAGCAGCAAGGAGCTGGGCCACGCTCCGGGTGCTCCCAGTTTCTGTCGCAGCCTCCAGCTCTGTGTTCTGTCCCCCAAAATCTGCGGACAGACAAATAGACGCAGTCTTGTTCCAACAAGACTTCACTGGCGACCCAGAAATTCACATTTTACATATTTTTCTCTGGTCACAAAATGTTTTCTTTCTTTTGAGATTTTTCCACCCATTTAAAAATATAAAAACCATTCTTAGCCCATGGGATGGCCAGAAGCAGGTGGGGACAGGGAGTTGACACGTGGCCCCTGGCTAGAATTTGTCAGCTCCTGCTGGGGGTCCCAGCCCCAGTGCTGGCTCTCGGGAGCACTTGCGGGGACGGGAAGGACAGGCCGTCCACCACCCCATGGATTCCAAATCCGAGTCGTAATGAGATCTCCAGTGACTCATGCGCATTTGAAAGTTAAAAACAAAACAGAACCGAAAAATGCTGCCTGCCTACTCGGCATCCCCCAGAGACTCTAATTGAACAGGAAAGACGGGCGCGCTGTGACTAGAGGCTGCCCCTCGGGTTTTTCACGAACAACCAAGTTCAAGCACTTGAGCTTTAGAAAGATCCTCAGGACCAAGGGCCACCCCTACCGCTCCCCATCCAGGGCTCATCTGTGCCCCGCTGTGCTCTAGGACAGGGTCCTACCTAAGCCTAAGCAGGGACAGCCTCACACCAACAGCTCCCCTCCCGGACTCAGTTTCCAAACATTGAGACAGGAATGAGCTCCTGGATGCTGGCCTCTCCATCCTGCAAGCCCTGGGGCCAGCACGGGCAGCTCCCAGGCGCTCTGGGGACCAAAGAGAAGCACCTCACCCACTCAGCAGCAGCACCCCCACTACCCCACCACCCCCACCTTCTTGCTGTGTCCCCATTTGCACAGCCCCATTGTCTTCTGATGGCTACAGGATGCAGCCCTGTCCTAGACAGCAAGACACAAGGCTGAGTCTTAGCTGGCTTGTACAGAAGGGACGGGGCCTTCAGAGACCTTCTGGGACAGCAGGGGACACTTGTGCAGCTGCTCCTACACCTGCCATGCTGTCTGTCCATCCATGGCCTGGGACACTCCTCCGTCTCTGAAGTTCACCCTGAGCACAGAGACAACCCCAGCTCCCTCCCAAGACCTTGCCTTCCAGGACCTCCCCAGGTGACAACTGCCACCTCCTGGTGACAATGTCCTGTCCCACTCCCTGAATTCCCAGCTAGATCTGTGGAGGCTGGGGTGGGTGCCAGCACTGCTCCCAGGCTCAGAGAAGCAGCCAGCTGCCATTTAATGAGCACTTACTAAGTGATAGGTGCGGGAGAACTGGATTCTCCAAGGTCATGAGGGTCAAAGAGAGGTTAATCAACAGACCTGAGGTCACACAGCTAGCAGGAGAATGGGAGAAGGGAAACGCTGGGGAAAGCCCTTAAATTCTTGCACTTGCGATCTTGTCCTCACTGCTTGAGCTCAAACCAGGTCTGTCTGGCTGTCCTCTCATGGCTGGGCTTAGGGCTGTCCATGAAGCCGACACCTTGGAGAGATCAAGGTGGAAGGAAGGGTGGGCTGGAATATGGGGACCCTCAGCACCCTCATCAGCCCAAGCAGAGCCAGTGGCCGAAGACCACTAGCATCCCTAAGAAGAGACCCAGGACTGAAACCTGGGCCTCGGTTTCTCCATCTGTAAAATGGGGCACGTCTAGCAGGGTCACTGGAAAGGACAGAAGGGAGTTGGGCAAAAGGCCCCATGTAGGTGACTATTATATGGTTGACTTTACTGTTCCTCTGGCTCTGTGACTTCTCCCTCTCCAACTTGGAATTGCTGGGAGCCAGCTCCGCCCCAGAAGGAATGAAGGTAGATGTCGCTTGCTGAGCCTCCAGAAAGGTGGCCAGGAGCCTGGGCTCCACACTCAGCCTACCTCAGAGCCCTTCCTTAATTAGCTCTAGAATAAAAATAGCTCCCCCTCCTCCCAGCTGCCCACCTACCTCCCTGCCTGGCGCTGGGGTGCGGCTGAGCCACTCTGGGGTGGCAGCCAGCCCGGTTGACACAGATCTCATGACACCGAAGGGTGCACGCAGCGAGAGCTTTATTGAAGGAGACACAGAACTGGTGCAGGCCCTACCACCAGCCGGGCCACTCCATGCGCCCTCGCTGCCCTGCGGCCCCGTGTCCACCTCCCAGCCTCTCCCCCTTACCCAGCCTCGCTCACTCGGCAGAAGAGGCCCTTGGGTGTGTTCCGGGAGGCCTGGGGATGCCCGATCGCTCCTCCTCTGCTGCCACATGGCCCATCCGCGTGGCCCTGTCATCCCCGCCGGGCATCCCCGCCGGGCACCCCCGCTCACTTGCAGCTCTGGAGCCGGGTCCGGTGGTGCTTCTCCTCCGTCAGCAGGGGGATGAAGGTGTCGCTGTGGGAGAGCTTCAGCCGGCTGCCCCAGCTCGGTGCCTCCTTCCCCGCGGGCTCTGGGGGCAGGGTGTCCAGGTCGCTGCGGGAGCCACCGGGCTTGCCGTCGCCCGTGCTGATGGAGTTGAGTTCCATGAGCTCCAGCTCATGCTTGGCCGCGGTCTCCAGCACGCGCTGCTTGTTATAGTACCTGACGAAGTTGTTGATGATGGGGTGGATGGGCAGGGCGATGGCGATGACCCCGCACAGGAAGCTGATGGCCGCGTTGAGCTTGCCCAGTGTGGTCTTGGGGTAGATATCACCATAGCCCACTGTGGTCATGGTGATGATGGCCCACCAGAAAGACTGGGGGATGCTCTTAAACAGGGTCTCGGGGTGACTCTGCTCCATGGTGTAGCCCAGTGCCGAGAAGACAAAGATGCCTACGGCCAGGTACATGAGCAGCAGCCCCAGCTCCTTGAAGCTGCGCTTGAGCGCGTAGGTGAGGGTCTGCAGCCCCGAAGAGTGGCGGGCCAGCTTGAAGATGCGCGCGATGCGCATGATGCGCAGCGCCTGCACGGCCTGCTGCACGTTGGTGAGCTCCATCATGCGCGCGCCCAGGTGCGTGAGCGTGAGGCTGACGTAGAAGGGCAGGATGGCCAGCACGTCCACGATGTTCATGAAGGACAGCGCGAAATGCAGCTTGTTGGGCGAGGAGAAGAGGCGCAAGAGGTACTCCAGCGTGAACCAGCCGATGCACGCCGTCTCCACGTTCTCCAGCGTTGGGTGCTCCACGCGGTTGCCCTCCGCGTCCACCACCTGCAGCTCTGGGATGGTCCCCATGCACATGACCACCGACGACACCAGGATGAGCAGGAAGGACAGCACGGCCACCACGCGAGCCGGGCACGAGGACTCGGGCTTCTCCAGGAATTTCCACACGCACTTCTGGCAGCGGCGCCACCCGCCCTCGGCAGAGTCCACGCCCAGGTCGTCGAGGATGAGCTGCACGCGGCGCGCGATCTCCTCCAGCTCCTCACGCTTCTCGCTCAGGTGGCTCTTGCAGCAGTCGTCGAGGAACTTGAGGTCCACCTTCCAGAAATCCATCTCGCTCTTGAAGCAGATGGGGCAGATGCCCTTCTTCATGTGCACCTCCCCGAAATAGTACACCTCGATGACGCACTTGAACGCGTCCGGGTCCCTGTCGAAGTAGAACTCGCGCTTGCTCGGGTCGTAATCATCGCACAGGGAAAAGATGGTGTCGTAGCCCCCGGCCAGGCAGTTAATGAGCTCCGCCAGCCGGGTCTCCGGATACTGGCTGAGGAGGTCTCCATAGAGCACCTGCCGCACGCCCCCCACGTTGACCACGATCTCGATGTCCTCGCCGGTCGCCAAGCCCCGGCTGTCCGGCTCCGCCAAGCTGCACTCCCCGGCCCCGTCCATGCTCCCGGCGCGAGCGCTCCAGGCCCCGGCTGCGCGCGCCCCGCCGCCTGCGCGGGCTCCGGAGGGTCCCTCCGTGCGCGGCCCCCGGGGAGCCTTGAGGGGCGCTCACAGAGAGCAGTAGCGGGCCGGGACGCGCGGCGGAGGCGGCGGCTGCATGCACCCCGCTGCCGGGCTCCGCGCGCGCATCCGTGCGCCCAGGGCGCGCAGGCAGGGGCTGAGGGTGGGGGGGGAGCGGCCTCGCCGGGGGCACTCACCGGCTCTCAGGCGGCGCGATCTGCGGCTTCGGATCGGCCTTCCGCAGCCGCAGGAGCAGGATTAGGGGGAGTGAGGGTCCCCGCGTGGGTCGCGAGCACCTTCCTCTTCCCGGAGCGCGCGTGTGGCCGCCGGACCCACGCTGTGCGCCGAGGTGCGCGGAGAGCCAACTTGCGCTCGCTGTGCCGAGCGGGTCCAAGCACAGTAGGAATTCCAGCCTGACGTCAGGAGCTTCTCCGCGGTCCCCTCTTCTGGTGAGATTCCGCATGGCACGCGCGGCGGCAGCGGCGGAGCCACCCGTTAACCCTTGGGCCGACGGGTCTGCTCCAGCGCCAACCCGCGCTGCGCCCCCGGGCCGCCTAAGGGGTTACCCAGGGGCGGGGACCCAGGGCTTGAGAGCTGCAGTCTGCTCAGACCGCAGAGTTCTCTCGTCGCCGCCTCTGTTGGCGAGGGTGGTGGCGGGGAAAGGACCCGGCAGCCTGTTGCGCGACAGAGAAAGGGCTCGCTCGCAGAGGCCGCCCCCCTCCTCTCCCGGGCCTAGCCTCCGCTGCGGCCCCGCGGTCACCTTCTTCCTGGACTTCCAGCCCAACCTCCTCCCAGGGCCGCCACCCCTTACCCCAGGGCTTTCCTGTCGCCCTGCCGGCCCCGCCCGGGTCCAGCAGGTTTAAATTCTGCCGGCACCTCCTCACCGGCCTTGCTCAGCCGCCAGCAGGGCGAACAGGCAGTGCCTGGGGTTTTCAGAGCGGCGTGTGCTTGACGGTGCACACGTGAGGTGCCTTTCCTAACCCGCGGATTGCGCACTGTGCGGGGCAGGGTCCTGCGGTGTAAGCTGTGGACATGGGACAATGATGACGCGTCGCAGTGGGGCCTTGCTTGGGGACAATCGCCCCCTCAGTGAGGGATGTGGGTGGGGGAAGGTGGTAGAGATGGGACCTGGGAAGCACTGCTTTAGCTTAGGTTTTGCTGTCACCCTAAAACTTTTCTTTTTTTGAGACAGGATCTCACTTTGTAGTTCAGCCTGGCCTTGAACTCATAGCGATCCTCCTGCCTCAGCCTCCCAAAGGCTGGGATTATAGGCTTGCAACATCACACCCGGTATGCACTTAATTTTTTAAAACTATTAATGTATTTTGGGGTCCAGGATTTAGCTCAGTGGCATAAGCACCTGCCTTGGAAGTTCAAGGTCGTGAGTTCGATTCCCTGGTACCAAAAACAAAACAAAATGGAAAAAAAATGTATTTTGGTCAACCGTGGTGATGCACACTTATAACCTCAGCACTGTGGGAGGCTGAGGCAGGAGAAATACACGTTCAAATTCAGACTGGGCTGTTTAGCAATTAAGGGGGAACTTGTCTCCAATTTTTAAAAATTAGTTTTAAAGGACTGGCCATGTAGTTTAGTACAAAGGTCCTGGGCTCAATCCCCATATTTAAAAAGATATATAGATATAGATATATAGATATATAAGATAGTTATACTACTGCTTTCTCTGAGTTCATTGGAGAGAAAGGTTTGTGCTGATATTGTTTGGACAGTTGAATGCAGATGTCTTGTGCTCTGGGTAAATGATTTTAGGGATGACAATGTGTAATGTATGTAACACTGTTGCTCCAATTGATGTGTTTTGAAATTTTGTTTTGAAATAAAATGGATCATATATATATATATATATATATATATATATATAATATTTTAATCTAACTTGTACCCATTAATGAAATCAATTTCCTGGGCTACAGATGGTATTTTTTATCTTTAATGAGATCCTATAAAACTGACTGTATTAGAATACCTCGCAAGAAATGAGTATTGTGTGGTGAAACTTTACAGGAAACTGGGGCTGTGAAAGGCTGAAGGGTAACATCGTTACTGCAGGGTACTGAGCACAAAGTGCCCTCAGAGTGCTTGGAACTTTTCTCACTGAGTCCCCAGAGCTGCCCTGGAAGGAGACTCAGGCCTCTGAGATTGGTCTGAGGCCTGCCAGGCCCTGAGGCCTGTTTCCTGGGGTAAAGCACCGGCGCCCCACACTCACCTGGCCTGGACTTCCAGCCCTCGCTCTGACCGTGCCCTCCTCTGTTATCTTCTGGCTTTATGGGGCTCAACCCAGATCCCAGATTGCATCTGAGCTTAATGGGCTTTAAAAGTCTTGGTTCAATCTCTTACTCAAATAGTCATCATGCCGGAGTGGGGATTGGGCTGGTGGGGGGGTGGGGCTGGTTGTCTTCTGAGTGACACCTGTGCCTGCACCGGCGCTGGGGTGGTTACGGGGGAACCACGGGCTGCTGGGTGGAGACTGCGCCCCTCTCCATAGCTTCTGGAGCTGAGCTCATGGATCCCTTCCCTCCCCGGGCCAGGGAGGCTGCTGTGATATCACAGCACCAGCGGTCACCCCTGGCAGTGCCCCTGTGCTGACTCCTTTAGGGCACAGGTCCCAGGAGAACAGCACCGGCTTGAGCAGGCAGAGGTAGGATCGAGGGGAAATTGAGGCATGGCTTTTACTGGGGCAGACAGGAAGGGCGTGTTGACCTTGCTTAGCGGTGGGCTCTGGGTGGCAGTTGTGGCCTCCAGTGGCTCGGTAGCTGGGCTGGGGTTTGATGCGGGTGACAGGGGCTGGTTGCAAGGGCACACAGAAGATGTCACTCCACTCCGTTGTCTGAGGCTATGCCACCCTGGCAGGCTCGGGCTCTCCACAGATGCCTGAGCATCAGGAACGCAAAAGGAAGTGGCCTGAGTGGAACAGGCCCTTTGCCTGCCTCAGAGAGGAAGGGACTCATGGCCTGGGCAGTACAGACACAGAGCAGAGGGCTGAGGGCCCCACACAGCCGGGAACCTGGCCCATATTCCACTCAGGTCACAGAGTGAGTTTGGTCAGAAGTGGGAGGGGAAGCCGGCTGTGGCGGTGCATGCACCTCTGATCCCAGCCCTCTAGAAGCTAAGGCAGGGGAGTCACCACAAGTTTGAGGCCAGCCTGGGCTACACAGTGAGACCCTATCCCCAAAACCCAAACAAAAGCAAAAACACACAGTTCAGGGAGGTCCTGGGTTCAATCCCCACTACTGCAGGGATGGCAGGAGACCCACATGCATGGGGCCGCCTACCACTGTGCTCACCAAGTTGAATCTGCCCGGGGTGCTGGGAACACAGCAGAGACCCAGGCACAGGAGCTGAGTCCATGATGCAAGAGACCCGGCAGTGTCCACAGTGGGTGGCAGCCTTGGGCCAGCAGCAGGGACTGAAGAACAGACACTGGCAGCCCTGTCCTGTTCCCTGGGAGCCCTTCAGAGACTGAGCACTCTTGATTGCCTGCTGCCCTGGGAGCCCCGGTCAGTGCCACTGTTGAGCTCTAGAGATGTGACCAGTGCTGCCAAGGAGCTAACTGCTCAATGAGATTTTATTTTAATAGCATTAGTAAAATACAATAGTGAGGCATAGTGGCACACACCTGTAATACTGGCACTTGGGAGGCCGAGGCAAGAGGGTTGATCCCCAGTAAGTTCAAGGCCAGCCTGGGCTACATAGTGAGTTTAAAATCAGCCTGGACTACAAAGCCAGACCCTGTCTCAAAACAAACAAACAAACATTCATGCGCCACACACTGGACCCATGTTCAGCAGCCAACCCAGGGGTGCTGAGGATATTCCCTGGGGTGCTCAGCCCTCAACACTATTTAATTTAAGAACACTTTGATCACCTCAGGGATAACCCGTGTACAGCTGTGCATGGGGGCGCAAACCTGTAATCACAGCACAGGGAAGGCTGAGGCAGGAGAAGCCCTGAGAAGTGCAGCCGGCCTGAACTACACAGGAAGATCCCATCTCAGAAAACAAAAACAGAGAGAATGAACCCTGTGCCTATGGCTCAGTCTCCCAGCCCAAGCACTCTCTCGTCTGCTTTCCAGCCGCTGGTTTCCCTTAGTTGGGGTATTTCAGAGAAATGGAAGCCTATAGCGTGCAGCTTTTGGGACTGGTTTCACTCTCTGTGCTTTAAAGGTTCAGCGTGTGCAGCACGTTTCCACACTCTGTTACCTTCTATGGCTGAAGAAAAATCCATTACATGAATAAACAACATCTTGTTTCTAGCCTTTTGCGGCCAGTGACTGCCATACTGGACGGGTCAAGTAGAAGTGAGTGTGAGGGGAGTGGACTGGACGTCCCAGCCTGCCATATTGGGCAGGTCAAGCAAAGTGAGCAGGGTGGGGCCCTCCACGGCTGCTGGGACCATGGCCTCGAAGGTCACCTGTGCATAGAAACTCAGCTGGCAACCTGGATCCACGAAGAATCCAGGAAACAAAGTCTGGCTTTTTTTCTTCTAAAAATGGGAAGTTTCTTGCTGTGGCTGTCCAGTCCTGGGGATGACTTCTTTCATGACACCGAGGGCCTGGGGGCTGGGACGCGGTATTGTCGGTGAGCCTTGAGAAGCAGCCGCAGCTCTGCCTCCTGGGCTTTTCATGTTAAGAAGAGGAGGAAAACCCACGGTCTATTTAAGCGTTAGGGAAAGCGATTGTTCGAGCTGTGCTTTGCTTTATTAATTTTTTTTTATTTGTTAAACAATAACAATGTGTGCTACAAACTGTTCCATTTCCATGACGCTAATTAAAACCAGCGTATGTGTGCCGCAGCGATTTGTCTAGACGGCCCGGGTCCGTCATCTGCTCCCTTTTGATGAACGAATCAGTTGTGCTCGCTTAAAATTTCTTTGTGTATTGCTGAACTTAATAACACCTTTCACTAAGATTCCGTTCTGTGCTCCGTCGAAATTTTGCTTTCCTTTCCGGGCTGTGCATCGTCAGCGGCAGCCAGCGATGCGTCCCTCCCCTCCCCCTCCTCCCCTCCCCTTTCTCCCCCTTCTCCCTCTCCTCCCCTGCCCCTGTCCCAGAATGACTGACAGCAGGCCCTGTTCATCTGCTGCTTTTAGAAGGACCAGGGCCAGCTGGGCGAGCGGCAGTGCTGGATAGGAAACGGCCAAGAGAAGGGGGGCTGATATGAAACTGAATCGTTAGGAAATTCTGGATTTTTGGTTGGTCAGGATTTTTTTGGTTTTTCTGCCTTTGTAGTCCAGGTTGACCTTGACCTCCCAGTGAGCCTCCTGCCTCAGCCTCCCAAATGCTGGGCTTTTAGGTGTATACCTCTATGTCCAGTTTGTTTGCTTAACCCCAGTGCCTGATCCTCTTTTATCTTTCTCTCTTTCTTTTTTTTTTTTTTTTTTTTTTTTTTTTGTTTGTTTTTTGAGATAGGATCTCACTATGTAGCCCAGGCTGACTTCAAACTCTCAGTGGTCTTCCTGCCTCTGCCTTCTTTTTTCTGATTCATGCCTCACTTTTTCATTATGAGTAAGACAGCGCTGGTGCCCTTTCTCTTCCTGGCTGCCATATCTGATAGGAACAAATAAACTGTCGGTGTGAACAAGCTTTGTAAAAGTTTGTAAAGTGCTGACCATGGGAAGGCAGAAGGAGGTGTCCTAGCCCAATCCCACCTGAGGTCAGGCTTCACCCACTCTGATTAGATATGTGGTGGTCCACGCCAGTAATCTCAGGACATTGGAAGGCTGAGGCAGGAGGATCTCAGATTTACTGACTTACTAAGATTCTGTCTCAAAACCAAAAAATTAAAATAAATGAGTTAGGCGCTGGGGATGTAACTCAGTGCAAAGGGCCTGATTCAATCCCTAAGAACACCTGTGCACACACACACTACACTCACATGTACTCGCACATGCACACGCACACCAGGAGGGTAAACAAAACCATCGAAGGAAACTGTTTGAAAACAAATCCCTTAGCGTCCTCTCTTCCATTGCAAAA